GAAAATGATTCAGCATTGTGGGGCAAAACATGAGACAGACATGAAAAGAAGACACAAGCACAACACGGAAGACCCATGGAAATCATGACTTTCAGAAAGAGGGTGTACATAATTTCTTATACAGTCTCTACAGAAAAGTATAGAAGAAAGAATAGTAGCATAGAAAACCATTAGGGTTCTCAAGTATTGATTTGTAGGGATTTGATCTGATTTCATTTTTACGAGTTGATCACGGATTGATATCAGTTAGAGAGCCATTGAAAACCAGGGAGTGCTGGAATCATCGGCAGTACGCACCCACCGCCAGGGTTCCAACCCAGGACCTTCCAGTTACAAAGCAAGCTAGCTCGTATACCATTCAACCACTAGGACACGATTCAATGGTTCATGAATTTTATAGAAAATTAATCTAATGCTCGCTAGTGACTTGCTACAGGAAGGACGGAGTTTCCTGAAGTTCTAGTGGGAAGTCGTGACCAGTGAGGTCCATCCAGATGTCACTATGAGGATGGATATCCCACCGACGACAATGGTTGGGGACGCGCTTAAATCAAAAATTGTTAGAAGTTAGAATTCATAAGCTGGCTATTGAATCGGTTCCCAGTGACTGAATGGTATACGAGCTAGCTTACCTTGTACTTGGAAGGTTTTGGGTTCAAACCGCCTGTGGGGTGGTTGCGTACTCCCGAAGATTACCAAACTAGGGGGATGAAACAGCTGTCCAGTACTTCAGTGGTGTATTTCAATGCTTCTCTTACTGATATCAATCCGTGATCAACTTGTAAAAGCAAAACTAACCGTTAAAAACCAAACTGTAGAAAATTGATTTGATTGGTTACAGGATTTCTTCATGAGTTGACATCAGTTAGAGAACCGTTGGAAAATCAGGTCGCGAACACTGGACAGTTGTCTCTACCCTCCTAGTTTGGGACTCTTCAACAGTACGCAACCACCCCAGAGGGGGGTTCGAACCGACGACCTTCCGGTCACTAGGTAAGCTTGTAGACGACTAAGCCATTTGGATCCGATCCAATGGCTAGTCCATGAATTCTGACTTCAGCCAATTCACGACATAGCGCGATCTCTAGCCAATGTCATCAGTGGCGAGCGCATTTTTCCTTACACCCAACTTTCTGCTGCTCATGATGAAATTCTGTAACCAATAGGACTTTATTGGATATGGCGAATCATACAGAGTGTATGCGTCTGTACCAGTGAGAACGATTTTCAGTCATACAACCAAACAGTCGCAAAAACAACTGGTTTAGAGTATTCCGAGGATTCAAACCAGGAAGCCTACAACTTCCTACATGGCTGGGATCAAACTAACTATTAAAACATTTTATGGACTCGTGAAGTTATGTTTTGGTTTGACCACCACGTGCTAGCTTTTTTCTAACCTTATCCATCTTATGTCAGTCATCTAACACTGACCATCGATGAAGTTGATGGCTAGGCATGCATGAGTAACACATGTCCCAACCACCTCTCTCGACGTAGCTTCATAACCACACTAATTGACTTACTCCATCAACCAAACACTCAACACTTATCCTAAATACTACTCACTATACTATACCATTAAACACCAGAGACGGAACACGCACACCTATGATCAAAGACAGTTAGGAGGAAAGAGCGAAGTGGTATCCAGCGCACAAGTCATTCGATGGACAGTCAACCAGATATCATGTCTACGTCGGACATATTGTAGTTTGATAAATGTCACACGAGCCATTTGTATCTATGGTGAGATTACGTGAGTAGCAATCAGAGTCAGCTGGGTGTCTGAAGCAACTTCTCAAATAAGCGAAGTAGTGAACCCGCTCTATCACTTCGCTTGTTATCTTAAAGCTCTAGGAGTCGGTGCAGTTTAGCGTAGGTAAAGTTTTAAAAAAGATAAAGAAATAAGCACGCCACAGTTGTTCGAACATACGCTGCCGGAACTCACACGATGATGTCATCCTACTCAAGAAATTCAACATAGAGAGACAGTAGAGTCGCCGTACATCCACCCCCCCCCCACCTTAAAGAGGTCAGATTTCATAGGTGCAAAGCAAGACTGCAAGCACTGAAAAACATTGTAAAGCCCATCTCTGACAACCAGGTTGACTTTGCAACAGCACCCAAGGTGCCTTCATCAGACTGGTGTACACTATCCTAGCTTTCACGATACGATCTGTCGCATCTCACAGTAAGCATTCACACAAGTGACTGGATACACGAACTTCAGGCGCAAAGCGTGTGCTATAGTTACACACGTGTTTACAGTCATACTATGTGTTCACTTAAGCTACTCAATGTATTAATACCTCTTTTTTATGCCGGTTATTCTCCTTTTCTTCTCTTTTTTTACATGCCTGTCTGCCAGCCTACTTATCTATTAATTTCAACTGTTACGCCGACAAATAAGTCGATCATTATTACTAATAATAGTAGTATAGTGACGATTGATTTAAATTTACCTAACAATGGTCTCTCAGGTTGAAATTTATGAAATTCATTTTTTTTTATATACATAGTGACGTAAAGCGATTCACTGTATCCACAGGGTTTTTTACAAATATTATGTATCTCCCCTGTACTGACTTCATTCCGTTTTATAATATCTATTTATTGCGTAATATACGCTTCCCTTGTAACCATTTTTCCACGCATATATCAACCTACAAGCGTCAAGTCAGTCAGCTCTTCTATACGGATCAGAAACTTGGCGGGTGGGTCACAAAGAATATTTCCAACAGCCAGTTGAAGACCTTTATCAACCAACAACAACTGTCTTCGCTGGATCTATACTGAAGATCAATCAGATGGCCGAGGCCGGAAAGAATCACCAACTATTGGAAACTATGGCTGGGAACAAACAAAACAAGAACCAGTCGCTCGCCCAACAAATATGCAGGAGAAAGTGGAGATGGATTGGAGAATAATTTCCGATCAAGAACAGTGCTTTCTCTCACCTTTTTATATACTATTTCTAACTGATATTGATTGATAATATTATGACATATACATGTTGGCAAAATCTCAACAACAAAAACGTCATGATTAATTACAGGTCACTACCACTATCTCAGTAGATAAATAATGATGATGATAATAACAGTAACTGACGTGAATAGAGAATACTGACAATGTCTAAATTTGCTGTCCATTTTGTGTTATTTTATCGATCTAATCAAGATGATAAACACAATAGCATAACTTTATCGTTGTTATTTTTTATTATCTCTCATATATTCATTTACAGTAAGAATACTAACTAAAACCCTGGACATTGTGTCTGTGAATAACCTTTTAAATGCGCGCACAACTGTGTGTATCGATTTGAATAATACTACAATACAATAGAGAAAGTCATTAATAATAGTGCAGATTAAACGAGATCTTCTATACAGGCAGATAGACAGATAGATCGTTAGATAGACAGACAAACAGACAGACGGGTACACGCGAAAACACACACACACACAATCAACCAACACGGACAGAAGACGCGGCAATTATTTAACAGAAAGTGCGTAGGTGGTTATTACACTTCCCTTCATGCATTCACAGCCAACGCCTACACACACACACACACATACACACAGTAAGAAAATAGAAGACAGTAATACGACGGACACCTAAAAAATGAAAGCGAATAAAACAGACGGGGCTAAAAGATGTAAAACACACACACACACAGAAAAACACCCTGAAAATTTGAAATTTACCCGCCCAAATAAAAAGCAAAAGATATAAAATTTACCATAAAAAAGTAGTAAAAAATAAAAATATATTTGGCTACTACAGGACTTCATTACGAGCAGCAGACATCGGCTTCAGAACTACTGGAAAATCAGGTAGAGGGAGTGTTGGACAGCTGTTTCGTCCTGGTTTGGGTCACCTCCGTTCTGGTAGGAAACCGTGAACACTAGGCGGATGAGAGGAAGAACATTCGCCACTGATGGGATCGGCCAGTGGCAGTCGCGCTACATCATGCGTGAACTGGGAGAAGTTGGAATTGATGGGCTAGCCATTGGATCGAGTCCCAGTGGCTGAATAGTCGGTAAAGTTCAACAATAGCGTCGTATCAAGCGTAGCGAAAGCACGAGTGACCTTGAGCTGACCAATCATAAAAATAAGTGACGTTTGCACAAAACATGACGTATATTTTCCAGAAAATGCATGAAAATCACACACTAAACAGCAGGATATCTTTCTCTGACATGATTTAAAAATACGTCTCAGTTATAATGAGGAGTATCAGTTGCTAAGTTAGACTAGTTTCTCTACAAGTATTAACGTAGGTGACTAAAAATGAACGGTTTTTGTGAATCGTTTATCTCTCTTATTCCGTTGTGCAGTCTTCCCCAAAAGACTTCGGCTGAATTACAATGGTTTCCATTAAGAGGATTGACGACTTCTTACCAGGAAAATGTGGATAATAACACAAAATAAAATAAATGACATCAATTTTAAATCTATCCGTAATAGTAACCTTAATCCTAACCCTAATTACAACCCTTATCATAGCCGTAATTCTAACCCTAATCATAATTATGACTCTGATCCTAACCCTAACCCTAACCCTAACCCCAATACTTACCTTAACTGTAATCCTCATTCTAACGAGCTATTAACCCATTGTCCAAACAATAGTTAAGAACGTGATCCGGGTGACATCTATTCCTTAGTTGGTGGATAGCATTGATTTTTCAGCTATGATAATGACAGGTGTCGTTAGCCAACGAGTAGCAAGCGTTGAAGGTCATTGGAGAGTTCGCACTCCTACGACGCTATTGTTCAACTTCGCCAAATGGTCTACGGGCTCGCCTTGTAACCGGAACCATGGAAGTGCTTGAGTGCTGCTGAAGAATTCCAAACTAGGATGGAGGAGACAACTGTCAAATACTCCCCATCTGTTTTTCCGATAGTTCTCAAACCGATATCACCTCATGATAAAATCAAATCCATGCAAAACAAAAACTTGAAAAGTATATTTCCATCAAACTTACAGCACGTGTTTGTTCATCGAAACTTGCGCCAGCGTTGGCTAGCATACGAGCCGAGGTTTCACGATTCCAGTGAGCAGCTGCATGCAGTGCAGTCCATCCATCAAAATCTTTTGCATTTATATCTATACCGGGAATTTTGAGGAGAATTTCCATAGCTTTTGTATAATCTTTACATGCGGCTACATGTAGTGGGGTAGCACCAGTTCTTGGATCAACAACCGGTCTGAGTGAGAAATGAAAAAAACAAAACAATGAAGATAAAATATCCCACCACTTAATTGAATTTTAGATTGATTGGACCGAAATGCTCGGTCTCAGGTTGACATGTGGAGAACATCATCACTCACTGGGAAATGCAGGTACATCCAGCTGACGAGTCCAGAATGGGACGAAGTGTGAGATATCCTGGATTCCACTGCTAGTCACTATCCACACATTAAAATATCCCATTTATTAAAATAGGATCTAGTAAACAAATGTGCTGTATAGGGTGAAATGGTCAAATTCCTAGCTCAACTTCATCGATTTCGAGTTGGTCTTCAAATAGCGTTCATCACGAAGTAATTTGAAAACTGCTCCAATACGATAGAGTACCGCAAACCTTTGTCAACATAAGTGAACAGCTCTATATACTGATGCTACATACCAAACTGTTTACAACGGAAAGCTTAGCAAAGTACGACAAGACAAGGCGGCCTACTTCCACTGATGATACTCCTGGTTGTGAAGGAGACTGGATCATGCAGCATTCCGTGGGGAGCGAAAAGACAACCCGTGAAAGGACTCGATCTAGAGGTGAAAACCAGCCAAATTAGCAGGAGTAGCATACACACGGCTTCAAGTGAACATGAAGAAGAAGGTAGTGAAGATACCTCTACACGAAAACCACTTGTCACACTTAATTACGTTTCAGTTATGGGCGCGGCACAGATAAGGATATATATAGAAGGCAAGATTGAAAGGGCAAGACAGACTTTCATGATATCGGTAACACAGTGTGAAAATTCACTACACTCTACTACTGTGCGTCGGTGGCCCAACGGTAGAATACTCGCCGACCACGCCGCATTTGGTCTGGGGTTCAATTCCCGGCCTATATATAACAACGTAATCATTATCGTTCATCAGCAGGGGTTGATTTTTATGTTGTCAAATTGACCAATTGGTAAAGATAACGAAACCAAACTGTACATTGTTGAATTTGATAAGCATATAAAATTATAAAAGAAGCATGTATTTTTGCATAATAAAATTGCTTATCACAAATGTGTTGATTTTATCATTTTATGGGAGAGACGGGTGCTGTAACCAGGTCAAATTCTGTATTAGTCTATCATCCCTATTCAGACAACCTAATTGTCTCTATAAAATAAAATACTTGGAATGTAATGCGATATACATCGGACAAACATCGCGGGAAATCAAAATCAGAAGAAATGAACACCGTATATATATATATATATATATGCTGAGATTTTGTAAATTCTTCTGGTTTAACAATACTTTGATAACATAAAGTCAAATGGATGATCGTGACCAGCAGTGGAGTCCAGGATAACGCGCATTTCGTCCTATTTGAGACTAATCACAATTGGATATACCTGAATTCCCCAGTGGTCTAGTGGATATAACGCATTGTGGTTTTAAACTACAGGCACTGGGGTACGAGCCTCAGTTGGAACGTCATTACTAGATCACTGGGGACTTCAAAAGTTACATGACCAGAGGCTGTCAAAGCCATCTGCGCACAGTCGAGCCGACTTGTCAACCTGAGACCGAGTACTTCAGTCCAATCAGTAGTCGACGGGAAAATAAAGAGTGAATTGCATAATACTTTAAAAATAAAGCTATTGCAGCATTAGCAGCGGAGTTAAATCGTAAAACGTCGGTAAAAAAACAACGATAGTATCGTTTTGTTAGTTTTTCATTCATTCATTGGGAAACACACAAAACGCGCTTTTTATATGTTTATCATGAATGATCTCCCTTTCCATGGAATTGTTAATTTGATCAAATGATATACACAAAAAACCTTTTTCTTTCATTTCAGTTTATACCATAGGACGAGTAGAGTGCCTGATCAAGGCACTCATACAGCCAGGTAAGGGCTTACGGCGAGTTGTCATCTGAACTGGTGACGACTAGTGGTGTCCGTCAGGGATGCCCATTATCCTCTTTTCTATTCCACTTCATCATAGGTGTGTTAATGGACTTAACCCTAGGTGACTTCAGCGACTCAGGGACTGACTTGCTACTAGGGAATAATCTCGTTGACTTGGAATATGCAGACGATATAGTCCTTCCAGGCGAAGACGCTGACGAAATGCAGAGTCTTCTAAACACCTTTAGCCGCAATCTACGAATGTTTGGCATGCGATTCGCTCCCGCCAAATGCAAGATGATGTTACAGGACTGGACTACATCGACGCCTAGTTTAAAAATAGGAACTGAAGTGGTAGAGCACGTTAACCGCTTCACTTATTTGGGAAGTACCATGAGCCAGCCCCAACGGGTTGATCTCTGACGAAATCTCAGCACGAATACAAGGGGCTCGTTTCGCATTTGTTAGTTTACGCCGACTCTGGTGTAGACGAGATGTTCGACTATCGACCAAAGGGCGGGTGTACTGCTCATCAGTCCGCTCCGTCCTCCTTTATAGCTGTGAATGAGACCTGGCCACTGAGAGTGGAAGACATGAAAAGACTAGCTGTCTTTGATCATAGGTGCCTGCGTTCTATTTCCCGTGTAAAGTGGCATAATAAGGTGAGCAACATTGAGTTTAGGCATCGGTCGAGTTCTAGGTAAACATGGGAAATCAATAGACGAAGTCGTGAAGTTACAAAGACTGAGATGGTTAGGACATGTGTTACGTATGCCAAGCCATCGCCTCCCTCGACAATGGGCAATGTTAGCGGATATAGGGTCAGGCTGGAAAACAGCTAGCGGTGGTCAAACAAAAACTTGGCTTCACCAGTCAATGAAATCCACAACAGTTGGTCTAAGCCACGTAGGAAGGTGTATCCTTCTTGGCTGGTTGGAGTCCTCGGGACGGTAAAAACCAATGGCTGAATACAATTGATGATATGGCTCGAAATCGTTCTCAGTGGCAAGCGCAGATGCATCCACTTCTTGTGACTTATGATTTCCAATGAAACTGTTTTGTTCTTCGTTATTACTCCTCCTTTGTCTCACACCTCTGCTCACTGTCTCTATTATGCATTTCTTCTACTTTCTTCCCTTGCTTTGTGTGGTACATGGAGGGAGTGCGGCGACTTGAACTGGTGCACATATGTGCAAAGTTCTATGTCATAAACAGACAGACAGACCATATGACTTTATCATTTCGTAATGTTTTCTATGCTTCAGTTGACATCATATCATATTTTAATAATTTTTTAAAAAAAATCTTATTTTTTTATCAACGAAATTTCATTTTCAAACTATGTTAGTGATATGTATCCATATAAATATATATATACATATATGATGGTCTCTCTCTGTTGCTCTCTTAGTCTGTGACCACTTCACTTTGATGAACCTGTCTCCTTTAACAATGTATATTCCCCTTATATTATATATAATATAATATGAGTGTTTGTTGACAGTCTGATCTTGGTGATACATATATCCATATAATATGTGTGTTTGTTTGACAGTCTGTTATATTTCGCTATGTATATATGGATTGATACTTCATTATAATTAGCCAATCATGTTAAGACTGTCTATTGATTGTTCACACACTTGTTCGCACATTCACATATATTTTGCTCTCACACTATTGTGTGATATATTTGATTCTCCTTGTGTTTGGGAAATAGAAGTATCATCGCAAACCAAGTGGTCTTCTGATTTCAGCCTTTCTTGCGTCAGGACTATTAAATTCTCGACCAGTACATAACAATAATTTGGCGACGAGTACATAACAGTTAGACAACAATTTATGTCAATGCTCACATTCCGAATCAGGGTCATGAGAAAAATAAAAAAAAAACACAATAAGAAGAAAGCTTAACCTAACCTTGAGGAAATCAACAACCAGTCACAATGACTGTGAATGAGGTCAACTATTATAGGCCAGTCAAACTAGTAGATCAAGAGTAGTGAAATTGCCTTTTAGAACATAAGAATTTAGTGGCTAAGGTTAGAATGATTGACCCCAACCGAGAAGATAAGTAATTTAGAGAAGTAAAAAAGCTCAGCACTACATTGTACTGCATGCATTAACACACAACCACACATGTTGTAGGTGGGAGAAGGTTAAAATTCTAAGAGGTAATCTAGGTAGGTGGGTGGAGAGCAAGAGAGATTGATTACTGAATCCTGCCAGGTTCATCGAATAATCTACACCCAACACAACACATACAACAGAAATGACTCAATGCAAATGCCAGAGATATGCATGGAAGATATTATTACCACCAGTCAGTCAGTCAAATCAGAGGAGGATAATCAATAACCTTAAAATTCTATTTCAATTCACGCACATCATCACAACATTCTAACAAGTTACTTATTATGACTATAAAAACACTCGTCTTATTGCCTATCTGGCTGTATTTGATTGATAACACTCATATTATTATTTCTGAATGTACATTATCACATATTGAATTTTATTCAAATGTCTAATCGTCAATTCCACTTTGTCTACCCTTGTGTGTGCTATTTGGAACGTGGCAACTCGAACTTCTGCACTTCGGTGACAAGTTCTATGCTGAATCCAGACAGACAGACATCGGTTTATATTACTGTGTAACACTGTGTGACATATCAAGATAAAATCTTATCAATAATGGAGTGTGGAAATATAATTCGAGAATATATGGCTTCACTTTCTGAGAAACGGTCACAAGCGCAGTACAGAGTAACCTTCAGCAGAAAACAACCAATCAGAAGAGGTTGCTTCTCGGCTGACAATAATGTGTACATAATAATCTATAAATATGTCTTGATTTTCTCAATATTAATGATCTGCTGTCTGGCTCTTGTCTTCTCTCGATACAGTAACAGTAATAATAGTATGATCAGAGTTAACACTTCCGAATTTTGGAAAAAAACAAATATCATATTTGCAAATATGTCGAATGAACTTAACATGTTGACCTCTCTCCGTATCGATTGATTCATTCCTTAATTTATAATTTATAATCATTTAAATTGATAAATATGATTGCCCTTAAATATTTTCGACTGACTGTCAAAATTTTGACACACACACACACATACACACAAACAAACATTACTGTACCTGTTATTCTCTGTATTAGTTAAACTGCATACATCATTTTGAAATAATGGTGAAGCTTTGTAGCCTAGTTGGATGGATGATTACCAGTTAAATACAGGGACAGTACCACGTGCCAGATGATCCACAATGGAAAGCTCACTCAATGAGGCGTTCGATGTGAATACAGGATTAAGACAAGGCTGGCTGGCTGGCTGCCTGCCTGTTATCATCGATCATATTCTTTAATTGTTGTGCACTGGATTATGCGTCAAACTGTGCGTGGGCAGGGAGGAGACAGGAATACGCTGGACCACCAATATGAAGACTCTAGAAGATCTCAATTTTGCGATTGGATGATTTATGTCTAATGTCACACAAACGCGACGACTTACAGATGAAAGCCAACAAACTGGCTGAAGACGCTGGCTGGCAGCGAAGACATGAACATAGAGAAGACAGAGGTGATGAAAATAACGAACTAACAGCAACAACAACAACAACCAGAACCAGTCACCATCAATGGAAGAGTTCTAACAGAGGTTACCTCCTTCACATATCCAGATAGGAAGCACGGTTTCAATCAGAGGCAGTTGGAACGAAATCGGAAAAGCGAGATACGCCTTTATAAATCCGGATTAAGTTTGAAAATCTTCTGCAACTGATTCAGTATAAAGAACAAGATTTGGATTCTGTCCAACACAAATGTTAAGTAAGTTCCTTCCTTTATATGGATCAGAAACTTGCCCAGTGCATCACGAAAATGATTTGCAACAAGCTACCGCAGACTTTTATCAACAGCTGCCCCCACTTCACTGGGTGGTAACAAACTAATCAAGAGCCTATTGCTCAGCAAATATGTAGGAGAAAAATGGAGATGGATCGGGCCATACACCACTGAGATCGTGGAATGACATCGCGTGAAGTGCAGGCCATAGCTAGAGGGAAATCCCAATGGGAAGTGATGAGCGGGTCGTCGGTAAAAATGGGGGGGCATGAAGGTGATCATGTAGAGAGGAGAAGATGACAGATTATGGGCAAACATAAAGGTAGCCAGCTGTAGAGGACAGTACCAAATAGAAAAAAAGTGGAGTCGTGATGTGTTGTTGAAGCCCTCTACGGTTCCACCACCACTAGGAACCCAAAGGAGTAAAAAAAAAAGTCAACACACAGGCAGAATATATTTCAGCCAAATCAAAATTCAGTGGCACAGCAACACTAATATATGTGTAAAACTTGAGTACTGTGGTAGTAAGTAATTCCATATTAGTTTGTTTATTAGATGTATCACACAGTGAGTGAAACGGTATTACTGTTTGCTGGATGACACAGTTTCAAACACAATTTATTGCTGTTCATAATCATTTCATCAATTATAATCAAACGACTTCGAAACTTGAGTTATATAGTTCTCTTTGTTCTCTCTTATTTGTCGTCGTTGGGGTAGTAGAATTTTCCAGATGTCCAGGTGGACAGGTGTTGAATCATTCCTATTACACGTATTCACTGTCAGTTGATTCGATAAACAAAGCTTCCGTTATCAATCTCTCCCTAGATTCACCCTGTTACATTAGATCTTAAAACTGTCATCTTATCCCATCCCGTCGTATTGAAAGATTGTGTGTAATTGCATGTAATGAGTGCTGTAGCTGAACTATTCTCTATATTTCTTATCTTCTTTGAGTCAACTAATCTAGATTTTGCTGCAAGGTTTTAATGTTCGGCTAGTCTGACTGACTACCCCTGTTCTACTACTCTGACGTATGTATATGACCTGACAGTCACTGCAGGGTATTAGATCAAGGAACCTCGGAAACCACCTTACGCAGAATTCTTAACAAGGCACGCAGGAATAATAGTGGCTGTCGAACAAACCAACCACAAACTCAATTCGAAACAAGCTTTATCGATTAAAGGATCAATCCTTTGGAGTCTTCAAAGCAAAACAATTCAGTTTACCTAATACCCTGCCTGCAATAATTGTCAGGTCAAATACATAGGTCAAACTAGTAGAACTGGGTCAGTCAGTCAGACTAGTGGAGCATAAAAACCTAACAGCAAAATCTAGCTTAGCGGACTCGTATAAGATAAAAAAAAAATCTAGAGAATAGTTCAGCTACAGCACTAAGTGTATGCAGTTACACAAAACCATCCATAAAATAGGATGGGATAATATGACAGTTTTGAAATCTTATGTCACAGGGTATTGGGAGGGAGAGATTGATAACAGAAGCTTAGTGTTGATGAGTCAACCGAAGAGAATACGTGTAAAAGGAATGATTCAACACCTGTCCACCTGGACATCTGGAAAATCCTACTACCCCAACGACGACAGATAGGAGAGGACAAGTTTCGAAGTCGTGTGATTATAATTGATGATATGATTATGAACAGCAATAAATTGTGTTCGAAACTGTGTCATCCAGCAAACAGTAATACTGTTTCACTCACTGTATGTGATACATCTAATAAACAAACTAATATGAAATAGTAACACTCTCTTAAACAAAACAAAACAAAACAACAAAAAAAGGCTTACTTATAATTCTCACTATTAAGCCAGTACTGGGCATCGTGTAATAACATTTGTTCCTCGGATTGTTTAACCGCATCAGCATCAATGCCTTGTTTTTTCATAGCATCTGTAAGCAGTTTGATCATTTCATCGTCTTGTGCCACATCGATAGGCAGTTCAAGATCAACGCTTAACACGGAGAGATCTGCACCATTCTCAATCAGGAATCTAGATTAAAAAGGGAAGGAAATGGTCAACAACAATAAATAGTGGATCAATTTATACAATGGGATCAGTTATGTGGATAAAATAAATACTGCAATAGCTACAAACAGAGTGGAAGTGACTTGTGTGCTGGTTATGTTGAAGCATCCTCATCAAGAATCTCAACGCTACTTGCTGGCGACTATTTTCAGGGAACTGGTGACAGCTGAATGACCGTTAAAAGAGTTGAGATTAGTACAGTTTAGAGGAATTAGCTTTCTGTCTAATATGTCTGTATTTCAAATCTTAACTCACTGGAATTAGTTCGGGTGGAACAGTTGGAGCAGAATTCCTCATATTTACATAGTGTGAGTTAGGAGGGGAAATCAATCGACGAGGCTGTGAAATTACATCGACTGAGATGGTTAGGACATGTGTTACGTATGCATAACCAGTCATTGCCTTCCTCGACGATGGGCAATGTGAGCTGACATAGGGTCAGGTTGGAAAAGAGCTAGGCAGTGGTGGTCAAACCAAAACATGGGACTAGTCAATGAAATCTGCAACAGTTAGTTTAAGCCACGTAGGAAAGTGCAGACTTCCTCACTGGTTGGGGTCTCGGGATGGCATAAACCAACGGTTGGAAACAATTGGTAATATGGCTCAAACTCATCGTTCTCAATGGCTGACGCAGATGCATCCACTTCTTGTGACTTATAATTTCCAATGAAACTATATTCTTCTTCGTTATTACTGTTCCTTTGTCTCACACCTCTGTTTACTGTCTCTATTAAGCATTTCTTCTACTTTCTTCTGTTGCTTTGTGTGGTACATGGAGGGAGTGTGGCGACTTGAACTGGTGCACATCGGTGGAAAGTTCTAGGTCGAAAACAGACAGACAGTGTGAGTTAGCCTTATGGATTAAAAAGTGATAATGCAATAGACCCATAGTGTTTCTATATCATATATCTGAAACGATACATTGAAATGCAAACACAGCTGAGATCAACATTTGGTGATGCTAAGTAGCATCTTGAGATAAAATCATAACTCCGACAAAACTTGAAATCCAAAAATGAAAAGAATAGAATACCAAGTATGACAACAAATCACATCTAGTCTAAAAGCGACTTCTTTAAGACTTCCATAAGTAATGAAGAATATATACATTGACTGGGTTAATAACTGCTTCGATCAGTCAGTCTCACAGATCCACAGAAAGGGCCCTAACCAATCAAATACTACCAATATAAGCTATAAAAATACATTGAGGAAAACCTCTGTGTCAGGAATCATCACAAAGTGATGTCTTTCTTCAATCTAAATATGATGGAGAAGATTTGTAGCTCGGGGGAAAGAGCTGGATGGTTCACTACAGAAGGTTTTACTCTCTTACTGGACAACACCGAAGTAAACTTCAAAATCAAGTAGGCCTTTAAAATTAATTATCCACAAATTTTACCAACCTGATATGCGGTACTTTTCAGGCGACATATTGAGATAGAAAAGATTCACCAGTCAATAACAAAAAAGATCACGTAGACAAAAGAATAACCTTCCGTTGGACAAAATTCTCAATACCCATTTACAAGTGAATATGAGAGGGTCATCGAAATAGTTAGCTGGAGAACTCAAAAAGTCTACTTCCAAACCAAATCTGCTCTGAAGATGTTTTGCCTGGAAAGACAATCAGAGCTACGCAACTAAATCACACACCCAACTCCAAGAGAAAACACGAACGAACACCAACATCCTTTTCTACTCCCCCACCCCGTCAAAGAAGTTAAGTTACTACTGATTGTGAAGTTGAGGTTTTTGAAGGAGTTAAACACTTGACAACGTAAAGTGAACACTAAGTCTGAGGTTCGAGACCCGTACTCCTTAAGCAATAATAAGTATACTTATATTATAGCCTGGTGTACATGCAATATATCCGAACCACGCGATTGTTGCACGTGGTTTTTATCGATCTTAGCAAGGCATTCGATAAAGTATCCCATTTAGGTCTCCTCAGAGTAAACTTAAAGGTTTCGTACCAGACAAATACCAATGTGAGTGGTTTAGAGATTACCTAATGGATAGAAGGCAGAAGGTTAGAGTTAACAGTGTACTATCAGGGTGGAAGGCGATATCCAGTGGAGTGCCTCAGGGAACTAACTGTATTAGGCCCCTTGCTATTTCTATTATACGTTAATGAACTATCGGGGATTCTTACTTCATCTTCATTATTATTTGCGGAAGACATTAAGATCTGGAAAACGGTAAATAAATAACGAGGATAGGTCGGCCCTACAAACTGATCTGGATAATTTAGCTGAGTGGTCGAACCTGCGAAGTTTGGAAATGAATTCTAGGAAAAGCGCGGTAATGCACTTAGGTCAGAAGTCGGATACGTCATACTCCCTAGGGGACACAGAACTACCTGACGTTAACGGACAGAAAGAACCTAGGAATCATTGTCAGCAATGATTTGAAAACAACTGCAAATTGCAATGCAGCCACATCTAAGGCTTTTTGAATGTTATGGGCACTTCGAAGGACTTTCAAACGATTACTTACTTACTTTACTTCGGCTGTCTCCTACGGGAGGATGAGCCGGCTTCATGAACGTCTCGAATCATCGCTGCCCAGGCGCGGCAATTTGTAAGAGAGTTCATGAAGTTTCATGGGAATTTGGTACGAGTGATGTCCCCAGCATCGCTCGGCCTTTTGTTTGAGAGTGCAGCTCTAGCCTTTACACAGCCAAGTGTGACCTACAAGGCAGTAGGAGTGAAGTAAGGAGTCCACTATCCATTGGCAGCCGGTGACCGGAGTTCGGTTCATACGCCTTTTTGAATGGGGCCAGACATCCAACAAGCCCTTTGTCCATACGTCTGCCGGTGAGCTCCAGTGAGCTTCATACGCCAGTCGTTGGAGGTTTGGAATCAGGGTTTAGCCATCTCCCCTAGACTGTCATCCAATGGACAGTCAACCCGGTGGAGAGCGCCGGGCATCCGCTTTCGCCCTCTCACTTTGGTGAGAAACACCTCCGCCACGTGAAGGCAGTGAGTAGGACTTCCTCAGGAGAGGCTATGTAAGACGCCCGGTCATATGGGAGCATTTCAAGAGGTGTGCGGAGGGGTGGCCAACTCGCAGCGCAAGGCACCCACCCCCGACCATCCTGAGGCTTTGGAGGCGATTAGACGAGGGTATGTTCCAAATACTCTACACAACATATGTCACACCTCATCTAGAATACTACATACAAGCGGCGAGTTCATGCTTCAAAAAGCAGGCACATATTCTGGAAAGAGTACAGAGATTAGGAACAAAATTAGTTAGTGGTATCTTACATCTTAATTATGACAAGAGGATGGGAGCATTTAAATCTCTTCCCGTTATCATACCGAAGGAAAAGAGGCGACTTAATTTTAGCATACAGTATACACTTAAGGGTGATTTAGGAACTGACCACCTTTCTAACCTTTTCTCCTCTTCTAGGATACATTTACAGGGTCACTGCAAAAAGGTGCTCCAACCGAGGACGGTGAACGCTTTCAAAGAGAAGTTAGATCTCTGCAAAGATATATTTTGCAAGGGATTAACACATGCTACACAAGAACCTTCTATCCTCCTTATCTGATCTGAACTGATTTGCTACTAATCGATTAAAAAATAATAACCAATCACAAACCAGATAACCACACACACACACGCGCACATCTATAAAAAGCCAGTTCTCAGTGAAACCAACACGCAAAAATGCGTTTTAATTACTAATTGTCCGAAAATAAGGTCTGAAATTGAACAGCTCCTAAGTAAAATACCTACTATGCATATAAATATTTATACATATATGTATTTAAAATAGAAAAGATGAATACCACTCTGCCTTCATGCCATCATCATCATCATCATGATCAAAGTAGTAACTTCACGTGATCACTGACCTAATAGTGTAATCATTAAGGAATGCAACTCTACCTACACTACGCACCACAGCACAGTACACTACACACCAAAGGCATAACCTATCAAGGAAAGGTAGCATGTGACCCCACCACCAACCCCCCCCCCGCCACACTGCAACTAACTAAATGAGAAGAATAAATAGTAACGGTTACCTTCTCTTATTCCATTTCTTATTCTTTTATTAAGTAAAATTCATTCAATTACTGAAGTGATTAGTGTATGAATAGTACTCCATAAATAATATAGTATAGAATTCAAAGATAATGCATTAGAGGAGAGAGATAAGAGAACTGAAATAAGGACAGGAGTGCCACGCAGTCACACCCTATGTACATCCCCGATTACAATCTTCTCAGTAAGTATATGCGGAGACACGTTCCTAGTCCGACCGCCTCCCACAATATTATTATTATTCCCTTGGGTTCCTAGTGGAACATAGGGCTTCAACTGTACGTCTCCACTTGCCACTTCTGTCTTGCTTCTGCTGTACTTCCACCTGCATCCATCTTAGTTAGTCCATACTTTTTCAACTCCTCCTCCTCCTCACACGATCTCCTCCACGTCACCCTTGCAATGACGACCAACTCGCCACTTCCCTTTCGGCCTGGTTCCACTCGAGAAATGGCCTGATGCGCGCGCGATCTCACCCAGCAGCGGCCTCCTCAGCGAGTGTCCAATCTATCTTCACTTTCTCTTGCACATATATATTGGGTGATTGGTTTGTTCTTGTTTTGTTTGTTCCCATAGTTGCTGATTCGTTCCGACCCGGCCATCTGATCTTCAGTATAGTTGCAGCGAAGACAGTTGTTGTTGATAAAGGTATGCAACAGGCTGTTGGAAATATTATTTGTGACCCGCCTGCCAAGTTTCTGATCCGTATAGAACAACTGACTGACTTGACGTTGTTTGTATTGAAAATCCGACCGAATTTTGTTGTTGATACTGTCTGAGTGACGAAGATTTCCAGATTGGTTTCAGGTTGATGAATGTGTTTCTCACTCGACATGACATCCTCGTCCGTTCCTCCTGTAGTTAAGACAATGCTCCCTAGATAAGTGAGTGAAGTAACCTCT